TTCACCATGAATAATAAGAGATAGAATTCAAACAAGCAGATTCTAATGTTAGGACCTATTAATTCTTCAATTGTTTGTTGTTGATAGGTAATATGTATTCGTCTATTGTAGAAAACTATAAAATTATTCTCGTTTCTTTAAAATCTTGAGAAGAAAACGTTTTAAAAGGACTTCAACTCTTTAAACTATTCGATTATGGATAACGCGAGCATAACATTTGTGCTTTTGATTTATAGTGCTAGAAAATCTGCTGTTATTTGATTGGCTAAAATTTTGAGACACTGAACTTTTTCTTCTAATACAATTAAACCCCTTTCCCCCTTTGTACATTTTTTCACTCATTAATACAATATTGTGTATAGCTATGCTCAAAAAGCCTGTGTTTCTTATGGGATGTTGAGTCTCCGTTTTGCACAGTAAAAAATTCTCGTTTCTTAATAAAGAATCAAATTTGATCGATATTATATTATTTGAGCTATCACGTGACTCCATGCTTAAATAAATGACAAACGCGGTGAAGATACAACTTATTTGTAATTACCTGATAAATCTTTAAAAGAATATATTTAAGAAATAATGAGTTTTGGTTCAGAATTAAAGGTATTATCAAGGGATTATTTCTTCTTTATTATATAACCTAGTGTATACTTCGAAAATTCCGAAATTGAATTATCGAAACTAGTTCAATGTCTTGCGTTAACAAGATTCATGATGTCTTAAAAGTTAATGCAAAATAAGCTTTGAACTAAAAAGTTTTGGTGCTTTTCAAAAGGATCAAGTGGTTGCGGTCAATCAATTTGTTCAAGGTGGAATTCAATTCATAAACGATATACGCGACTTTATAAAGGAACGTGCACAAATAGAAAAAGATTATGCGCATAAACTTGAAACGCTTGCAAAAAAGTACGCGTCTAGGAAAGATAAAAAATCAATTGCTTTATCAGTGGGTGAAAACGCACTTTCCTCAAATCAAACAGAAACAGGCGCGTCTTTTGAAACCAGGTAGGGAAGAATTATAATAAATGCTTTTTATCAACTTGTACAAAAATGATAACAATTTTATCTTAATATAGTACAATTATCAAAGCATGGGGATGTCTTCTCGAGGAAATAGAAAACATTGCAAAGGATCGATCGTCATTTGCCGAGCTTCTCTCTACAACTGTTATAGAGAAAATTAAAGGAGTTATATCGAAAAAAGAAGAATCCCGAAAGAAGGTATTATTCATAAGATACGAATAATTTTCCCATAATTCCGTGTTCTTAAATTTTATACAATAAACAGCACATGATATTCGCTCAAAAATTAATATCCGACAGGGATAAAATATACGCCGAAAAGCAAAAAGTATTTTTTATCTTAAATGTTCTTTATGTTCATCCTCTCTTATATTAGATAATCTAAATGATTTCTCTATAATACCAGGCTAAAACGCGATATGATGAAAGCTGTATAGAAGCTCAAAACTCTTTGCAGAAACAAGAGCGAGCACTCGATGAGAAAACTCTGGAAAAAGTATTATTCTTTATTGAGCCTTTTGTATATATTTGCTGGATATTGCTCTATTATTAATAAACCGAACTTGATATTGTTTAGTTAAAGAAGCAATCGCTTCAAGATGAAGTAGATATGAGAAATAATAAGGCAAGTTTTGCAAGTTACTTTATATATTATCTTTCTTGATCTAATATTTTCATCAATTATTTTAGAACCTTTATATTTTATCGATCCGTATAGCAAACGAGCATAAAAAAAAATATTACAACATTGACGTTCCAGCTTTAAACGATGTAAGGATTGATTTGTTTAGCTTTTTTATCAGATCAGAATATTCTGATCAAGTATTTCTTTACTTTTGCGAAAATACATTTTAGCATATGCAAAGACTTAATGAGAGCAGAATAAAAGCTATTCATGAGAT